GTTAGTGATGAAGAATTGCTCGAAGGGAAAGGTCGTTTAATTGTGATCTGGTAACCCGGATTAATTCGCCAAAAATGGTGGAATTTTTCACTCTATGTAATATGTTGTATTTGAAAGAGTGACCACTAGCCACTGTTTTGATTTTGCTGAAGATTTATAATGTTTGAGAAGTGAACAAGTTTAGTTCCTGCTTTCTTTTCGTTTTTGTTGAGAAATCCAGTTCCTTTCCAAGATGCCTCTTCACCTCACGTAGAATGATATTGGAGCAGTTTTGATTTGAATGTGCCAGTGTGATAGTTTCAGCCTCCAAGAAAGTTTTCCGTTGATGATGTTCAGTTAGATACCCCACAGATACCTATTAGCCAGTTGTTCAAAGTTTAAGTTAACATGTGTGAACTGAGGTAACATTTACGTTATTAATTTTTAAAGTAAAAAATAGACAAAATTTTCTTTTAAAAAGACAAAATTGCTTTCTTTTATAAATTATTTTAAAAAAAAAATTGTAATTAAAATAAATATTATGTTAGGGCGTGTTTTAAACTGTCATCGGTCACAATTTTATCCTGTCTTAAAAAATGTTTGTTTTGACGTATGACAGTTTGATTTTGAATCTGCTGTAAAAGATATTTTGATTTTATAGTAAAGATTAAATTTTATTTTTTACAAAAGGATATCCATAAAATGTTAATCTATTTTGGCCACATTATTTACTAGGAACCATTTCGAAGGCCTTTTGTAACCTCTTTGTAAACAGATAACATGTAAGTTTCTTTATTTGTATTTGACAACTATTTTTATATAGTATGCCTTTTGTATAAGCTGTATTTTTGAAAACTGTTTTGTTTGAGACAATAATAAACGTAAGATTTGTTTCTCTAACCTATTTTTTATTTTTATTTAGAAAAATCTCCTAACTCTTTTTATGTATTTTAGATATTAGGGAAAAAGATTTTTTTCTTTCCTTCAGTAAACGAAGATCCTTCAAGTGGCGCCCTATATTAAATTCCTTGAGGTGTTCCCAGTCTATTTTTGATTTGTTTGTTATATCAATTGCCCAGGAGATTTATGTAAGTATCCCTATGTTTTCATTTTAGTAGATAGCCCCAATCCAACATCCATATTTCAACTTATCCACGACCCAGCTCTCCAACAACCAACTGAGTGTCGATCGCCACTTGTTTTGATTATTTTGTTTGCCCAATCTTCTACCCCCTCATGTTCTTACCCTGAGGTAAGCAAAATATTGTCGTTACA